TTTATTTTAAGTTAATATATCTGAAAGCAAAACAATATTTTTACTAGTCCAGTAAATGCTTCTTGATGTAAAAATTTGTGGCTATTTAAACTAAAAACAAGACAAAAATCAGTGTATTTTTTCATGTGAGGACATTCTTTGCTCATCTACCTTTGACATATGCTCATAGATCTTCTCATGAGACTCTTTAATAAGTGTTGAAGTGTACACTACAGGTTAAACCCTTCACAGGGTGCACAGTTGACACAGGCTAGTTCTTTTCTTCAGGTTAATCTTGTCATGAAACACCTGTCACACACACACACACACACACACACACACACACTGTCAAGACCATGTCTAAATCAGCAACTCCATCGCTAAACAACACGTCTGGAGACACTTGACTTAATAAGACCTGTCAAAAAGAGCACAGTGTAATATATATATATTATTATTTTTAAAAGAGCACAGTGCTTATTAGGGGGTATTATATAAATATATATATATATATATATATATATATATATATATATATATATATATATATATATATATATATATATGTGTGTGTATATATATATATATATATATATATATATATATGTATATATATATATATATATATATATATATATATATATATATATATATATATATATATATATATATATATATATATATATATATATATATATATATATATATATATATATATATATATATATATATATATTTATATATATATACATAGTAGAGTGAGGGCATGGATGGTGCATCAGAAGAGCGTGGCCGGGCGGGGGGGTGGATGGTGCATCTAAAGAGCGGGGCAGGAGGGGGTGCGCAACGTATCTGAAGAGCAGGGATGCTGTGGAAATAGGTGTGTTAAGTTATAGAGGAGCGGGTGGGACACACGTGATTTCCAAAAGATCATCATTCGTTTGCGGGCATCCGGAAGTCAAATGCATAGAGACTCCCGGAATTTCCGGGAGACTTAGGATGTTTGTATCTATTACATTTATTTATTTGTAACTAAGCTAGTTTTCTTCTTTGTTTATTTTGATGTGAAAATCTTGACAGGTCTCTCATTTTACCGCAGTGTATGATAAGCATGTTTCATGCTCTAATTGAAATGTCCTAAAAAGCCCTAAAGAACTGTTCCACTAATGACCTCTTCTCTTTGTCTCCCTCTTTAGGCCCGGAGGAATGGACAAACAACCGCAACAAAGCGCCACCAGCAAGAACAAGCAAAGGAGTGTACAGAGATCAGCCGTATTCCCGGTTCTGACCTGCTACAGTCCTCAACGTGCCCTCCCAAAGTAATGGATTTTCTATGGACTCTCTTTCCTTTTTTTTTTTTGCAAATAAAATCGACCAAAACGACAAAAAACGATGAATAAAAATCCTGTGGAACTGGTGTTACATGGATGACCCCCAACAAATGGAGTATTACGGATCAATGGATTATACGCCATTTAAATCAGAGAACCAATCAGAATATAAACAGTCCCACTTATGATAGAGGGAGGCGGGCACTAGCGATTAGGGGGCGGAGTTATATGGGGTATACGATATTTAGATTTAGCAGCTCAGTTTTTTTGTAGATACTTTTTTTTGATTGGTGATCAGCTTCAGTGTGTCCCTTGTAAATTTGACCTTTAATGAAAGTTAACTAGAAAAAAAAAGGAGATCTCAGTGCACATGTTGTTTTCCTTCTTTTCTCTTTTTCTAAATGGGAAATTCTTCAGCGTTAAAGGGCTTATAGGAGCATGTCGTATTTCAAAAAAGAAAAAAAGATGACAAAAAATATCTGTGTGCAGTTTCATTTGCGATGAGAAAAGCCTGCGTAGTTTTTGTCTGGTTTTTGTGTTGAACATTTTTAAACCCTTTAATGAGCTCTGTGGTAGTAAGTGTTTTCTCCTAGCGAGCGATCTACTTTTAGACCTTCTCACGAACGTCTAAATCGACAGTTTTGGATCCAATTGGAAGTTGGAGTAACACGATTGTGACTAAAATCCCTGATTGAATTTCACATTTTGAGTCGATATATGAGAGATTCCTCCTCAAGTTAATGACGTTTCTCCATTTAGAAGTTACTCCTGCACACTTTACTGGGCAATTCCAATGCATTATAGCACATTTAATCCTTTATATGGCACTTCAGGCTCTCCATTAGTATGTTATATACACTGTAAAAAGCAATTAGTTGACTTTACTTGAAAAAAAGTGAGTAAACCCATTGCTTTCTGTTGATTTTACTTTAAAAACTGGGTAAACTTAAATTTATTAAGTAATTGATCTGGGGGGTGACATGGTAGCTCAGTGGTTAGCACTGTCACCTCACGGTAAAAAGATCCCTGGTTCGAGTCCCGGCTGGGCCAGTCGGTATTTCAGTGTGGAGTTTGCATGTTCTCCCTGTGTTGGCGTTGGTTTCCTCCGGGTGCTCTGGTTTCCCCTACAGTCCAAAGGCATGCACTATAGGCGAATTAACAAAATTGGCCACAGTGTGTGTGTGATAGAATGTATATGGATGTTTCCCAGTACTGGGTTGCAGCTGGAAGGGCA